CAAATTGGACAAGGTGTGTTTGCCCTGTGTTGAAAGTGAGCCAGAGACAGGAGGATGGTAGCTAAGCTTGGGGCCTTGCTATTTTGATTGGGGGACAATTCTTCCTTGGTGACTCCCATTGCTCCAGCCTAGACCCTTCCATGAAGGCCTTCTCTTAATGGACAGTCATTCAAAGTAACTCATCTAGGAAGCTCTTCATTTGAGTCCATGTCTGTCTGGCTTGTTATTAAGTTGGTATGGACCTGTAGGGACCTCTAAACAGAATCAAGACCAGAGCTGTCTATCCTGGTGTCATCTGCACAAATGTGGTGAAGAGGAGGTAGAAAGGCGTATGGGTTTATTCCATGAACCTTGGAGCCAGATCTCTCTCTTCCCCAGCTGATGGTCCCCTCTGCATGGCTTTCTATCAGACATGACTGCTGCCCACAGGCTCTGGTGGCTCTGAGATTTGGCTGGAGCTTGTTGACAGCTGAACCCTCAGAACACTGCTAGAAACTTCATAGTTTCTGATGTCTGCAAATAGCCCAAGTAACTTGAGGTTGTACTCACTTGTAAATGTTTGAGTATCGTGTCCACAAATTGAGAATTGAGTAACTCAATTCTGAGGCACAGCTGTTATTTGGAAAAGACCCATCTAGGAGTACAAGCTCCTTGCAAAATGATTGTGCTTCATTTTTGTCAAGTACCAGGAAATGATTAAACCACCACACCATATGGCAAATGCCCACTCGAAACAGAGTGCAATGGCCGTGTGGAAGGAGCCTGCTTTGGGGGAGTCGATGGGGCGGCGTCTGTGATGTGCACAGTTCATGTTTCTACAGCCCTGAGTAAGGGCTTTTCCGCCATGAAAAATTCATATAAAAAATTAAGTTACAGCAGACTTTTTTCCTTAGGTGTATTTTTCTTTTTAAATGATATGCACTTGAGTTACTGCATATAAAATGAATTTAACTGAGGCCACAGGAACTTGTAAAAATTTTACGTTTTCATTTCTTTCTATGCTACTTAGATCAACATTCTTTAGCTATCACTCTCTCGGTTAGAATCATGTTCAATTGGACACAACAGGAAAAAGAAAGAAAACAATAGCAGCTTAGAAGATTATTTCTCCTCCAAATGGAAGATACCAAGAAGTAAGCAGCTTCAGGCAAATATGGTCACTGGGATCCTGGTTTTTCTTAGTTTGTTTTTTGCCCAACTGGAGTTGACCCTTGTCGTCAGCATCCAGTATAGCTGCCATACTCTAGCCATCACATTGCAGGCCGCAGGAATGGGGACAGAGGAGACGAGCTTTGTTGCTTTGGTTTTGCTTTGCTTTGTGACAAGGTCTCACTATATAACTGAAGACAGCTTGGATTTTGCAATGTGGTTCAGGCAGCCTCAAGCTCACCGATCCACTTCCACAGCCTCCTGAGCACTAGGAGTATAGGCATGGGCCACCATGTTCAGCAAATAGCAATAAATCTCTCACTCCCCCAAAGAGATGTACTAGCCAGTTATCCAGCCTTCCTCTGCTGCCGAGGGGACTGGTACAGGTAGTGGTTGCCCAGTTAGAGGCAGGTTCAGTGACTAACAGGAAAAGGAATGAGTCTATGGGGGTTTCTTGTTTCTTGTCTTCTGGAAGGAAAAATTCACTTAAGAGATATAGTCTAGGGGAAGGAATAGTTCAGTGGTAGAACACTTGCCTAGCAAACACAGGGTCCTGGGTTCATTCCCCAGAGGCAGAGACAGTTGGGGTTTTTGTTTTGTTTCACTTTTGATTTTTTTTTTTTGCTTTTGTTTTTGTTTTGTTTTGTTTTAGAGACAGGGTCTTACTATGTAGCTTTGACTGTCCTAAAACTTGCTATATAGACCAGGTTGGCCTCAAACTCACGGAGATCTGCCTGTCTCCCTCTCCCAAATGCTGGAACTAGAGGAGCTTGCCACCATGCCTTGTAAGACATTGACAGTCTAAGCAGAGGTTTACTTAGCAAATCAAAGCATACGTTCTAAAGTCAGATAGGAGTGGGCTACCCTAAAAGTGGGCAACAGCTCAGTAGGTTCTGCAGTGTGGATTTTACAGGTATTTATGACTATAAGGTGATTCCTTTCCTTCTAGATCTCTGGAGATCAGAGCTCCCTTTGTGGTACTTATTCCCATGATCCTCTAGAACAAGTCAGGGTCCTCTAAGGATGCAGACCCTTCATTAGTGTGTGTGTGTGTGTGTGTGTGTGGTAACTGGGTAAGTGCCTTGCACCTTAGTTTCAGATTTAGCAGGAAGAACCTATCTGAAGCTTCAAGGATGTTTAAAGATAAAAAGGGCTAAGAAACAGGGCTACCAACTGCAGTGTTCCTTGGTTACTTCACTTCCATCTCCCTGCCTACCTGGTGTCACCAGGCATGCAAGTTTGAGTGGCCTGTGTGACAGCAGGAGGGTGCAGGGTATGTGCCCAAGGGCTGCCAGGTTTCACACACAGGCAACTGGAAAATTGATGTTAGTTCAATTCACACACTGTTAGTTCACAGTTTGAATGCCTCTGGGGATGTTTTTATATCCCAACTTCCCCCATCCTCTGTGACCCAGATGGAGACTGGATGAGCCTCCAGAGAATCTCCCAGACGGGACTTCCTGTCCTTCCTTTACCATCTGGGTCATCACACTCTACTCCTGCACCCCGCACACCCCCAGGCTCACTGAGACCTCACGCCTTATATATAAACCCTTGGGAGTATGGCTTCTATTGGCTGGACCCCACCTCCTTTATTTATTTATTTATGAAAACAAACTATCTTTTTTCATTTTACATACCAATCCAAGTTCCCTCTCCCTCCCCTCCTCACATCTCTCCACCTATTCCCCACCCAACTCCCCATCCACTCCTCAGAGAGGATAAGGCACATTGCTTTGGGGAAGGTCCAATGCCCTCCCTACTATATCTAGGCTGAGCAAGGTATCCATCTAAAGAGAATAGGTTCCCTAAAAGCTAATACAAGCAGTAGGAATAAATACTGGTGCCACTGCCTGTAGTAAGAGGAACGGCGGGCCGTGTCCCGCCGCCCGGCTAACTTATACCCAAAATAACCACACAGAAATTGTATTAATTAAATTATTGACTGGCCATTAGCTCTAGCCTCCTGTTGGCTAACTCTCACATCTTGATCTAACCAATTTCTATTAATGTGTATTGCCACTTGACTATGGCTTACCGGCACGATTCTAACCAGCGTCTGTCTCAGGCAGGAGAACCATGGCATCTGCCACACTGCCTTCTTCCTCCCAGAATTCAGTTCTGTCTTCCCTGCCTACCTGAGTTCCGCCCTATCAACTAGGCCAAGGCAGTTTCTTTAATAACTAATGAAAGCAACACAAATATAGAAGGGCCTCCTACACCAACTGCCAGTGGCCCTGCAGTCTGCCCCAGCCATATAACTGTCACCCACATACAGAGGGACTAGTTTGGACTTATGCTGCTTCCTTCCTTTTCTGGCTGGAATTGGTAAGCTCCCATTAGCTCAGGTAAACTGTTTCAGTGGGTGAACCCATCATGGTCTTGACCTCTTTGCTCATATTCTCACTCCTCCCACTCTTCAACTGCCTTTGGGAGCTCAGCCCAGTGCTCCACTGTGGGTCTCTGCCACTGTTTCCATCAGTGCTGGATGAAGACTCTATGGTGACATTTAAGGTATCAATCTAACTAAAAAACTATTTTGAGTGAGATAAACCAGACCCAGAAAGATGAACATGGTATGTACTTACTTATAAATGGATAATAGTTATAAAGCTAAGGATATTGAGCCTATAGTTTATTATCCTAGAGAATCTAAGTAACAAGGTGAACCCTAAGAAAAGCATACATAGACCCACCTGGAAAGGGGAAATAGACAAGATTACCTTACAAAATTGGGAGCATGGGGGTAGGGGAGAAGAGAGTTTGGAGGGGGAAGAGATGGGGAGAAGGGGAGAGGAGAGGAGAACTTGAGGGAATGGGATGGTCGAGATGGAGAAAGGACAGAGATGAGAGCAAGGAAAGAGATATTTTGATTGAGAGAACCTGGCACTAGAGAAATTCCCAGTAAGACACAAGGGTAACCCCAGCTAAGACCCAAGCAATAGAGGAGAGGGTGCCTGAATTGGGCCACTACCTCTTTATATTAGCATCTGAGCTGATCTGGGAGTCCATTCCCCACTGTAATGGACATAGGTCTGAGTTTTATTACTCCTCATAATGCAATTCTCTAGAGACATCTAAGGTCACAGAAGAAGAAGATCCCTTCCCTGGAGCTTGTCATAGTACTGGTCTCAAATCATCCTTTCTAGAGAAAATAAATCTACAGCTATTATTTTTCTAAGACTGCAGGCATCAAAGATGGCTAGGACTCCAGCAAAATTATCAGAGTCCAGGACCAGGAAGGCGGTTAAACACGATTCAGTCCTACTTTGGGAACAGACCTGTGGAGTTGGAGGGGCATATATTTCGGCCATGCTGATAGTCCCTTGGAGCAGGGCTGAGAGTTCCAAGGAAGAATAGGTGACCTTCCATCTTCAAATGTTACTTTACCCAGCTACCTGTTTGCTCATGGGGTGATATCCATTCCTGTCATTCCTTTCTGATACTTCCTGTTATACCTGCTCTTTGCTGGAGAAGGTCTTGCTGTCCCAACTTAGTGTTCAGCTGTTGCTTCCCCCCAGGATAGGACTGCTGTCTGTGCTTAGTAGAGACCAACATTTCCCCATCAGTATGAACAAATGGGGTCACGATCAGCAGGGCTAAGGCAGCCACCCCTGTCTTAAAGATTCCTCCTATTTCCCTCAACAAACCCCACTCTGTAACATGAGGGCCGGCTTGTTGGGGTTTCTGTCCCGCCCGATACCCCACAACCAGCAACTCCCAACGAAAATCACACACAGGACTCCATAAGATTATAAAGCTGATTGGCCCATTAGGTCAGGCTTCTTGTTAACTCTTATAACTTATGTTACCCCATTATCCTTATCTACATTAGCCACATGGCTCCGTACCTTTCTCAGCTGGGCAAGTTACATGCTGCCTCCTTGGTGGGCTGCGCAGGAATGGCGGAGGGAGTTTCCTCCTCCCTAGCCTTATCCTATTCTCATTGCCCCGCCTCTACTTCCTGTCTGGTTGACCCGCCTATACTGCCTGCCTGGCCAATCAGCGTTTTATTAAAATACATGATTGACAGAATACAGTCAATTCTCCCACACCACCACTCAGATCCACATCAAGGGAAGGGTTAATTCCCATCATAAAACCTAAAGAAGCAAGGGCTACTAATTGAGTGTTGTAGTCCCTATAACATTCCAATCTTAGGTGGCCAAAGGCTCTCAATAAATTGAGGTAAATCCCAGACCTCTGATTAGTCAATAAGGCAGTGCCCCCACCATGGTTACTAATCCCTAGGTCGTCATGACTTAGACACCCCAAATACAGCCTACTATTCAGTGCTTCATCATCTATTTATTTATTTATTTTTACATGCATTGGTGTTTTGCCTGCATATATATCTTGGTAAGGGTGTTGGGTCCTCTGGAACTGGAATTACAGATAGCTGTGAACTACCATATGGGTGCTGGGAATTGAACCCAGGTCCTCTGAAAGAGCAGTTGGTGCTCTTAACTACTGAGCCATTGCTCCAGCCCCCAGTGCTTGATCTTAAGGGTACCTTTTTCTGCATCCTGCTTTACCATATTAAGCCAAACAACGTTTGCATTTGACGCTCTCATTTGGAAAGCTTGCCAGGTTAAATGAACTGTCTCATCTATTTGACCCAGTCCTTGCCCAGTATTTAGTGGAATGGACATACCCCAAACCACCCTAATTCTTTATGTAGATGACCTCCAGCTGTATAGACCAACTGAAGAGACAATCACTTGAGGGACAGAATTCATCCTTAACTTCCTAGATGATGAGGCTACAGGGTCATGGGAGAAGACTCAGCTATGTCAGATGAAGGTCTTGAACTTAGGTCTAGTTTTATCACAAGAATCTGGTGCCTTTGGACCAGAATGAATCCAACCAATCTTGATCCTTTCCCTCCCCAAGCCCCCAATTGAGAGCCTTTTGGGGGGAGTTGGGATGTTACAGGATTTGGATTCCTGGATACAAAGAGCTACTAAGCCCCCTCTTTCAGGTTCTCAAGAAGACCCCTGGCAGAAGGTCTTAACCAAACAGAATGGTCCCCAGAATTATCAGGGGACCCTTCCAAAACTTATGGAGACTTAAGTTTAAGGATTTAAAACCATAGGCTACCCAAGGGGTAGATGAACTCAGCTCTGGATCCCCTTCCCTCACCAAGAGACTGTGCTGTGTGATGCTGTGCGGTGCTGTGCTGTGTTACTTTCTCTTTAATAAATCTTGATCAAGTTCTGTGTCTTTGAACTTCTTGTCTTGTTATCCTTTACTCTGGTAAGAAATGAACCTGAAAAAGAAAGGAACCTGTGATGGTTTGAATGAGACCAACTCCCATAGGCTCACATATTTGAATGTTTGGTTCCCGGTTGAACTGTTTGGAAGGATTAGGACATGTGGCTTTGTTGGAGAAGGTGTGTTGCTGGGGGTGGACTTTGAGGTTTCAAAAACCCACACCAGGTCCAGTGTCTCCTTTCTACCTGCTTCCTGTGGATAAGGATGTTAAATTCTCAGCTACTGCTCCAACTCCATGCCTGTCTGCTTCCTACCAAGATGATAATGGACTAAGCCTCTGAAACTGTAAGCCCCAATCTAATACTTTCTTTTATAAGAGTTGCCTCAGTCCTGATGTCTCTTCATGGCAATAGAACAGTGACTAATAAAGACTCCTAGATAGCATCTCCTATATGGGCCAGGGCTTAGACTCAGTCCTCATGAGAGTTCTATGCTGTAGGGGCCCTGTAGTCATCTCTATGTTCCATGGGGCTCACTGAAGCTTGGAGAAGTGAATTAGGCTGTTTACCAGAATGTAGGCACTAACCTTTCCCTTCCAGGTGCGTTGAAGAATTAGTCTCAATGCATGCAGCATCTTTAACACAGTGTGGAGCCTATGGCTCAATAAACCCAGTAGCTATTACTCAGCTCCCCCTACAGCAGCACTGAAATCAGTCCCAGACTCTCACAAGTGTGGCATGGCAAGGGACCCCCTTCCATTCCTCGTGCTCCTTCAAATCTTTGGAAAGTTCTCAAGACTGAAGCTGCCTGCTTCCCTGGGAGTCTCATAATTAGGATGAGTGCTTGATTGGCATGTCTGTTTCCTCCACGGGGAGGCTGGCACAGGGTCTTCACAGCAACATAGAAGGCCTGTGTTGCTTTTGTTCTTAGCAGCACTGGGTGCCCATAGCAACACTGGGCAAAGCCAACAAAGTTATAAAGGAAAAGTGGCTTAGCTCTCATTAAGGTTGATTGCCCTGGAGAGGTTGACACATCCACACAGATAAAAATGGTCACCCAGGGTCCTGAAAAACATGGTTGCTAGCCTCTCCCCACCCCCAAAAACAAAATGTGTCTTGTTTTCTTTAAGGTAAGCATCCTGGTCAGGCAGTCTATGTAATGAAAGACATGGAAGATTCTTGTTGAATCCATTTCCATTCTGCCCGAAGCCATCTGCTTTATGTCTACAATAAACAGGATGTTTGCAGCCCAGGGTTGGCTGTCAATGGCACTCAGTGCATGGGAAGGGAAATTGACAGCCTCCCAAGCCATGGGCATTAACACATCATATCCTCAGTGATGGCTCTTAACCTGCCTGGCTCACTTTCCTCTCTGTGTTTCTGTGAGGAGCTGAGGCAAATGACCACAGGATGGGTGCTGGGTTAGAACTGAGTATGTGGGGACAGCAGCCAACTTTGAATTACCTGGCAAGTGAGGTCAGATGTGTATAGCAGAAAAGGTTGGCTTCCTGGATATGGTGACCACCTGGCCCTCATCGAGACCAGGGCAAGGTGGGGTCATCTCCTGAAGGCCCTTTCTGGAACACATGAAACTGAAATCTGAACAGGCCATCCCTGGTTTAAAATTTTGCAGAGGTTTCTCCTTGCCAATGGGGTAAAATCTCTACTTCCAAGGTCTCTGAACCTGCAGGGTCCTCCTGCCTTTGCATCCTCATGTTCAGCCCTCATAGCAGCTTACACCTACATGGGGGCCATGCTGACCCCTGTTCCTTGTTGCCTTCTGTTGCCCTGTGGTTTCTGTGATGGTATGCCCCTGCCTTACCCCGGCTACCTCCTCCTCACCACCTGGGTTCCTGATCTCCTCTGCCCTGACTGGGAGCTCTTGGGCAAGCTGCCCCCAGACAGTGAGTGGCTGCCATGACAAGTCACCACAAACAGTAATTTTGGAAGTCCAACATGTGCTGAGGGAGTAGTAGCAGGCCTGGGATACCTGTTCCCCTCCGAAGGCTCTGAGGGTCGGATTTCCTTGCCTGACCTTGAAATCTGAAAGCCATGTACATTGTTTGGTGTGGGCCCCTTCCTGAAGACTCCCTCCTTTTTTGACCACTGTCCATCCATATATCATCTCGCTCCTCCTGTAAGGACTGTCTTGATAAAACTGGATAATTAAGATATGCACTTTGTGTCCTATCTGTGGTAGTTTGGATGAAAATGGCCTCCACAGGCTCAAGGGCGTAGTTTGAAGGATTAGGACCTGTGACCTTATTGGAGTAGGTGTGGCCTTATTGGAGAAATGAGTCACTGGGGATGGGCTTTGAGGTCTCGGAAGCTCAAGCCAGGCCCAGAGACTCACTCTCTCTTCTTGCTGCCTGCCAATCTAGATGTGGACCTCTCAGCTACCTCTCTAGCACCATGTCTGCCTGCATGCTGCCATACTTCACGCCTGACAATAATGGACTAAACCTCCAAACTATTAGCCAGCCTCAAATAATGTTTTCTTTTGTAAGAGATGCCGTGGCCATGGTGTCTCTTCACTGCAATCAAAACTCTAACTGAGACAGTGGCCCTGTGTTTAATCACTTTTGCAAAGTCCCGTACCATGTAACTCAACATAAGTCCAGGGTCAAAGGATTAGCATGTGAGCATCAAGGAACTCTTCTGTTATTCTGCCTCTTGTGGTGAGCTGTTACACTATAAGCCCTCCCCTAATGATGTTGTTTCTCCCATCCTTGACTCAAAGATCTGTGAGGACAGGGAACAGATATTCTTTGCCTTCCCTTGTACCTGATGCCCAGAGGTCCAGACACTAGCAGATGTGTATAGTTACCTGGTGGGTACATAGAAGTGGCAGAGGCCTGGCTGTGGCGTGAAAACTGGATAGTGTCTAAAACCTGCAGTGACATCCCTTCAGAATGTCAGGACAGCACTTGGGGAGAGTGATCTGGAACAAACTGGCTGGACTCTGGGATTGCGGGTCAGAATGATCACTACCAATTTTAACTTCTTCAAAGCAGAGGAGTGGCCCTGGGGTTGGTGTGTTGGGGCGGGGAGCAATGTTCCTGTTGACAAGATCATTGTGTTGAAAATGGCACAGCACGGTAGATTTGTTTAGTTACAGTCTAAACCGGTTGGATGGGTCTGTTGCATGGGGTGTCTTCAGTAATCTCTAGGTCAGCAGTTCTCAACCCGTGGGACATAACCTTTGCACAGGGGTCACCTAAGACCTTCAGAAAACACAGAGATTTACATTATGATTCATAACAGTAGCAAAATTACAGTTATGGAATGGCAATGAAAAGCATTTTATGTTGGGGGTCACAAGCTATGAAGCGTATTAAAGGGTCACAGCTTTGGGAGGGCTGAGAGCCACAGTTCTAGGTCCTCTAGTTCTATTTCTGTCTACAGGAGGCCCGGTCCAATAGCAGTTTGCAACAGAATAAAATAACAAAAAATAATTAACCATATAACAAAATGACCCATGTCAGGGACATTGGCCCTCACTGATGCTACAGACATTTCCTGAGTCCTGGGATGTGCTGGGACTTGACGGTAAGAGGTTGGGAGCCAGTAGAAACCATGCTCCAGGACCTACCTTCCACTGGAGAAGAACCATGGGAGAAAAGGCAGCCTCCATGATTCTGTAGCTGATAAAAGGGGGAAATGCCTGCAGGTGCACATGTGCTAAGTGAAGGAGGGGTCATAGGTAAATATCCCAGAGCACCTTTAAAGGGAACCCACAACATGATGGGGTGAGGAGAGCATTTCAGGGAGCCTTAACCTCATTACCAAAGCAGCAGGTCCTAATTGACAGGCAGATGAATCACTCTCTGAGCTGACTGTAAGGTGGGAGACCATAGCTGGAGACCGGAAGGGGGGCAGAGGTGGAATCCACTCTGTCCCCAGTTAATGATGAATTCTAGGAAGGAACCCTCAAGGTGTTAAATCCTCCAGCAGCAATTATTGCTCGCTCTGCAGGCCTCTGCTGAGGGCTTATTGATGAGCAGTCTTTCCTGATTGGAGAACTCTCCCGCGCGTCCTCACCCCACTAGACACCCTTAGAAGTGAGGGCAGAGGATCTCCTGTCGCGTGCATCTGATGAGACTTGCTCCCAAGCCAGGCTCAGGTGTGTCCTCTTGTCTGACCCCTGGGGTGAGTCATTTTGACCTGATGCTCGTTTTTTCTCCAGGTTTGCGTGGAAGAGTGTAGCTGAAGTCAGGAGAGACACACGAAGGGTGCACACTGACCTTGTTCTTGAGCCAGGGTCAGATGCGGCTGACCAGGTGCTGTTTCCTCCTACTCAAGATGGGACAGAACAGAGTCACTGTTGAAGCAATTATGCCCATGGCAAGGAAAGAAAAAGAGAGGTCCTTAGTAAAAGCCATTTGTTCTTCTCAGCGTGACGCTCTAACACCATCGATGCCACCTTTCAAACAACTGCTCTAATTTACCTTTGGAAAAATGAACTGAAACCCCAGGCAACCTGACATGTTGTGGTTATATTTCAGTGGCTCTAAATATTTATATTTTGTCAAAATGAAGTAAGATATTGAAAGAAAGGCTTCAAAATAGCTGTGAAAATAAAAGTCTTCCTTTCCGGGCACCTCGTCATGAGACTGCTCTTGTGGATAGCTGGTCCACTTTGCATACTCCTCATTAAACTACCTCACCAACCTGGGGAGAAGCCAGGAGCAGCCTGTAGCCAGCGTTCTTTGCACACAGTAGGTAGTGTTCCTGCTGCTTAAAGGAAGCTCGGAGAGCCCAGATGTGCTACATCTGGACTATGAGGCTGCATCCTCACAGGTAGCTCAGGATACATCCAGAACAACTTCCCTGCATTGCAGGGCACACTAGGCCTTTTCATGGCCGGAGGCAGGTTCCTGGCTAGCTGGCAGACCCTTTTCAGTGCCCACTGAGCCCCTTGGCAGGCCAGACTGCTTGGAGCAGAGATCCACAGATGAAAAGGCCGCTCCTGTTCACATGGGGCGTCCCATCCAGAGAGCAGGAAGCACACTGAGCTTCTGTTTTTTCCTCAGTAATGTGGCATGGGACTTACTTAAAGGTACATCCCAGACTAGCTGCCCAGGCTCCAGACAGAAAAGCCATGTTAGTTTTCTGCCCTCACAGCAGCTGGGCAGCTGTACCCCAGCCTTGACTCAGCCCTGTGGATTAGCTCACCCTGTCCCAATCCCCCTTCCTTGCTGATTCCCACTGGAGAGCTGTGAGGCTAAATTCATACCTGTCCAGCCTCCCTCATGACTAGGGTGGCTGTGAGACCTAGCTCTGATCAATGACACAGAAGTAAGTAAGTAAATAAATAAATAAATAAATAAATAAAACTTGTGATCTGAATAGGAGGGACAGCCATTCTAGTCCTTGCTCTTTTAGGTTGCATCGGCCTGAGGTCATGACAGTAGCACATGCAGCTACAGCAGCACTCCTGTGACCTTGAGGGAAAAGCCAGAGACCTGCGGGCCCTCACTGAGCCCTTCTTCCAGTGCCATCTCCCAGACGTGTGCTTTCTTCTAGGCCTTTCTGTCCTGAGAGAAACAAACAGCCCCCATTTGTTTCCGCCTCTGAGGTTAGCCCTCTGACTTGGACTAGCTCCCTACGAGGCTGTCAGTGAACAGGGAGGAACGTCCTGGGTGCTGAATATTATCAGTTGTGCTGGGGGATGTTCTGACTGGGGAAACCGGAATAGCTTTAATATGGAAACTTTAAGAACAGTGTCGTAGGGATCTTACAAGGAACCCAGTAACATAAAGAAAGCTCACTGTTGCTAAGATTTAAAAAGGTAGCAGGTGGGCAATGCTTGGATACAAACCTGAAAATGTGGACAGGAGGGCCCAGGTTACACACATGCCTCAGGTCCTGCTGACTAAGAGCCCTCTCTGTTCCCTGTGAGCTGCATTAAGCATGCCAGGCCCACCATGACAGGAAGAGCAAGAGAGGAGTGAATGTCTGCCTCCTGTGGCCAGGCCACTGTCAGTTACTATTGCTGCAGGGCAGATTGCCCCCAAAATGTGACAGCTTCAAATAGCATGCAATGAATTTGTTCATTTATTTATTATCATGGCTTAGGCCCCACAGTGTCTATGGGTCAAGTGTTTGATCTCATCTTCTGACTCAGAGTGTCAGTTCGGGTTTCTGTTGCTGTGATGAAACACCATGGCCAAAGCAGCTTCTGGGGGAAAGGGTTTATTTGACTTATACTTCCATATCACTGTTGATCATTGAAGGAAGTCAGGACAGGATCTCAAACAGGGAAGGAACTTGGAGGCAGGAGCTGATGCAGAGGCCATGCGGGTCAGAGGTCGGGCGGTGCTGCTTACTGGCTTGCTCCTCATGGCTTGCTCAACCTGCTTTCCTCCTAAAGAACCCAGGAGCAGCAGTCCAGGGGTGCACCACCCACAACAGGCTGGGTCCTCTCATATCAATCAATTAAGAAAACACCTTATCCAAATCAGAAGAAAGGGGTGTGGGGAAAGACATTCAGTTGCCTGTAATTGAAAGAGTCCACCTTGTCAAAGTTTGCTTTGCTTCAAGGCAATAATGCTAATAAAAACAATCAGGAGGCACACGGAAACCCTCCAAAATCAGTACCAGTGATAATTAGTCAACAAGACATGCTACAGAAAAAGGAAGACCCATTCTTAACATCAAGATGGAAAGTACTATAGTGGAGCATCTGGGGTAAGATAGTAGCATTGAGCTTTTCTCCAGGGAAGCACAAAGAGTCAGAAGAGAAGATCAGGAGCCAAGGAGGAGGTGACAGAACCGTTAAAAATCAAAAAGAAACAACAAGGGAAGTTAAACAAAAGTGATCAAAATAGATTGTATGAAACAAAGTTGTAAAGGAAGGAAATGGTCCTCAACTTCATTGACCATGAGCAGAGAGAAACTGGGAGCCTTGACAGCCATAGATAGGTCAGGCAGCCAGGTAACCACACACTAGCAATCTTGGCCTCACGAAACCCACATCTTGTCAGCCTAAAATGTACTGGGGGGATTTTGTTTTGAATACAAAGTTTGAATAAACACTTCCAAAGTTCATGATTTAAAAAAAAA